TCCAAGCAGTTTTCCCAAATTTGGTTGGCATTTTGGAACCTAGATTTCAAGTAGATTTCCAACATTCCCCCAAATGATAAATCTGTCTACTATGTCTAAACTGTGTAAGCAACATGGCTTATGCCACAACAGCTTTCTTTCCTTGGAAGTGCTAAATTTCACTCCCAAAGTGAGTTTTTGGAGTGAAATTTAGCACTCAGGTAGAAGGTGCCCATGTGGTCAGCCCCCAGTAAAAGTCCTGACACTGCACTGAGGCTCTGATTCTCAGCTTCTCTCAGTTCAGTTGCTCAGTCGTGTCTGACTCTTTGTGACCCCACAGACTGTAGCACGCCACGCCTCCCTGTCCATCACCAACTGCCAGAGCTTACTCAAACTTATGTCCATTGAGTCGGTGATGCCATCCAACCATCTCATCCTCTGTCATCCCCTTCTCTTCCCGCCTTCAATCTTTCCCAGTATCAGGGTCTTTACAAATAAGTCAGCTCTCTGCATGAGGTGGCCAAATTATTGGAGTTTCAGCTTCAGCATCAGTCCTTCCAATGAACACCCAGGACTGATCTCCTTTAGGATGGACTGGTTGGATCTCCTTGCAGTCCAAGGGACTCTCAAGAGTCTTCTCCAACACCACAGTTCAAAAGCATCAAGTAGTTGGCAACATTTCACACATGTTGTCAGAAATTGTATCACCTTAATTCTCCAGTCTCTGTTTAACAATGTCTTTATATTAAATTTCCTGTTAAAAGATAACTGGTATAATTTTCCTGATTGGTTCCTAACACAACCATATCAGTAAGGACAAACTGTCCAGTTAATTCCCTTTTACAGTCAGTTTTTATTGGAAACTAACACCTATAATTACACTAATCTCTCATTCAGTAATTCAGTTCCTGATTCAGTCAAGGAAGATGTTCTTTCAACCAAAATTTTCACAAAGATAATCCCTGTAAGAAATCACTGAGAGTGCTGGGAAGATTATGACATTGATCAAAAAGGTCCCAATAAAGAGATTATGTTAACTTTGAAACCTTGTTTTATTTCAGGAAAGAAATATTTACGAGTGATGTTTAAACATTTAAAAGTCTTAATCTGTGGTTAAAATTCATCCTGTAATTGTTTTGACCAAAGGGTTGATTTAAAACAGTATTAATATGCAGATGACAACACCTTTATGGCAGAAAGTGAAGAAGAACTAAAGAGCCTCTTGATAAAAGTGAAAGAGGAGAGTGGAAAAGTTGGCTTAAAGCTGAACATTCAGAAAACAAAGATCATGGCATCCGGTCCGATCACTTCATGGCAAATTGGAAGTGGGGAGACAGTGGAAAGAGTGGCTGACTTTATTTTTCTGGGCTCCAAAATCACTGTGTGAATGGTGATTGCAGCCATGAAATTAAAAGACGCTTACTCCTTGGAGGAAAGTTATGACCAACCTAGACAGCATATTAAAAAGCAGAGACGTTACTTTGCCAACAAAGGTCCGTCTAGTCAAGGCTATGGTTTTTCCAGTGGTCATGTATGGATGTGAGAGTTGGACAATAAAGAAAGCTGAGCACCAAAGAACTGATGCTTTTGAAGTGTGGTGTTGGAGAAGACTCTTGAGAGTCCCTTGGACTGCAAGGAGATCCAACCAGTCCATCCTGAAGGAGATAAGTCCTGGCTGTTCATTGGAGGGACTGATGTTGAAGCTGAAACTCCAATACTTTGGTCACCTGATGCAGAGAGCTGTCTCATTTGAAAAGACCCTGATGCTGGGAAAGATTGAGGGCAGGAGAAGGGGACGGACAGAGGATGAGAAGGTTGGATGGCATCACCGACACAATGGACATGGGTTTGGGTGGACTCTGGGAGTTGGTGATGGACAGCGAGGCTTGGCGTGCTGCGGCGGTTCATGGGGTTGCAAAGAGTTGGACACGACTGAGTGACTGAACTGAACTGAATACAAAGTCATAGCCATGCCTATTTATCTGAAGACTTTATGGTTCTGTTCAATCTATATTAAGGGTTCTGAAGTGAGCAAAAGATCAAAGTATATTTCTACATAGAAGTCAATCAGAAAAATGTCATTTGTTAAGATTATATGAAAGGCAGAAATTAAATATACACATATGACAGCAAGACATAGAAGCAACCAAAATGTCCGTTGACTGAGGAATGGATAAAGAAGATGTGGTACATATATACAAAGGAATATTAGTGAGCTATTAAAAAGAATAAAATACTGCTATTTGCAGCAATATGGATGGACCTAGAGTGAAGTAAGTCAGAGAAGAAATACCGTTGTATGGCATCCCTTATATGTGTAATCTAAAAAGAAATGATACAAATGAAGTTGCTTACAAAACAGAAACAGACAAAGACTTTGAGAATGAGCTTATGGTTATGGGGAGGCGGGGGAAGGAGGGGGGAAAGGATAGTTAGGGAGTTTGGGATGGGCTTGTACACTGTGCTATATTTAAAATGGATAACCAACAAGGATTTACTGTATAGTAAATGGAATTCGGCTCAATATTATGTGGCAGCCTGGATGGGAGGGAAGTTTAGGGGAGAATGGGTACATGTATATGTATGGCTAAGTCCCTTAATTATTCACCTGAAAGTATCACAAAACTGTTAACCAGGTGTACCCCAATACAAAATAAAAAGTTAAAAAATAAACATACACATGTATATATACGTGTGTGTGTGTGTGTGTACAGATACAGAAAGAATACACAGAAACTTCAAACATCCAGGAAAACTAGATACAATATTATTACAAATTCCTAATTACACTTATCCAGTCCAATAATTATCAACAAACGATCAATTTTGTTTTATATACTCTATTCCTCTACCCTCACTGGATCATTTTAAAGTAAAGCACAAACATATTTTACCTCTAATCTTCAGTATGAATCTTTACTAAGGTAGGTATTTCAGTTGAATTTCCCAGTCTTGTATGTTTTTTTAATATTTGGTTTGTTCAAAACGAAATGTAAATAATGCCTCTTAAATCTTATAAATCTACAACAGTCCCCCTACCCCCAATCTTCCTTATTTGACATTTATTTGTTGAAGAAATTGGGTCAATTGTCCTACAGAATTTCCCATATTCCACATTGGCAGATTGTATTCCTTTGGTGTCATTTAACATGTTCTTCTATCCCCCGTTTAAACTGGCATATCCACAAGCTTGACCAGATTCAGCTTCAATTATTTTGGCGGTAACATTCAATAGGTGGTGGTGTATCAGATATATTTTTGGCAGCACAGGTGGTCTGAATTCTGAATTACTGCTTCCCACAGATCTCTGCTGAGTTTTAACATATTACAGATCTTTTCCTATTGTCAAAACAGATTTTCTTCCCCTATAATATATGGAAGCACTATCATCTACTAAAACTGAACCAGAGTTTCTTATCACCTTTAAGCTTCTTTTTTTTTTTGACTTTAAAAATGCTAATTTATTAAAATTTATGAAAACTGTGCATTATATCATAGTACAATATGTTCTTATTTTAGATACAGACATAAACTGGGCTATCAAATGAAAGCAAATGGTGTCTAACAGTTCATAGAACCAAAGCCCAATGAGAGCAGGAGTAAAAACTAAATTGGCCTTTAAATCATTTTATAAATTGCTTCTATATTGCCCATAATAAACCACATAAGGACTTTATAAACACCACTCTCCAAAGTACTCAAGATACATTATGGACGAACTTTTGTCGTCCTGCCTAGAACCTAAACACAATTTACAACACTGAGTTGTAAAAAAGAAATAATAATAACTTACAAATGCACTTTTAGAGCATAACCTATTTGAAAGTTGGGGACTGCCTGTATTTAAAAATTAAATCTTCATTAGCAATACTCTCGTAAGTGCTCTCAATGCTGCTACTGAACATGCTGAAGGCAATGTTTTCCTGTGACTATATGTTCTCACCATGCATTATTCACGATGATAGTTTAAATTATCTACTAGAGTCTGTGGAGCTAGCTAGCACTAAGTTATATATTGATTTTTGCACTGAAAATGATCTCTTGGGCTTTGATTAGGTAGGCAATTCTAAGTAGAGGTTTTTCTAATTTCTATCACTGTTACATGGGCCCTGAGCTTTTTTATTAAAATGGCACATGAAATAGTTCAATATTATGCATATTACTAAAATAATTAAATTTATAGTGATTATAAAGCTAGGAATATAATACAACTCAAAAGACATACAAGTCCAAGTAGAGCAAACATTCAAATCTTAAGACCCTCCCATTTAACTTTGGGAAGAAAATCAAGCAATTTCCTGGCTTGGACCCTTCCTTCCTTATTTCAAAGATCTAAGAAGGATTGTTTTCCTTCTTCTTTAAAAAAATCTTGTGTGTGAACTGGAGAGAAGGGGATAACAGCATATCAAAGTGGTTACAGAGCATTATTTCCCCTTCAAATAACATCCAGTAATAAAGATGTAATCTCATTTCCTCAGAAATGTCTGACCAAAATAGTTAATTTCACCAAAGAATGTTTAGGACATAGAGTCAGTCATAGAATGGGCAATCCCAGTATCTCTCACATGAACGTGTTTTAAGCAAGCTATTTGAGTTTTATTTTCCCTTTTCAACTCTTATCTCCATGTCATTCTACATAAGTAGAAACAGAGTACTCAACGGTATTGAGTAACTAGTAATACTCACTGGAACTTAAAATACCATCTTTTATCCAAAAATTCCAAAGGGCTATACAGAAAAGAATCACAAATTTACATAAAGAAAAGCTGAGGCATGAAAAACAGCAAATAAGTTATTTCCCGGTAGAGCAGGTTGGATAGAGAGACGAGGGACTTTGACTTCCAGTCCCTTCAACTAAGCAGGACACTGAATGTCTAATATTTATACTGAATTTATAAGGATCAAAAAAGGAATGAAGGGTAAATATAAAATAATTATTTTGTAAACAATTCTTAGATTATACCCAATGCAGAATGTTTAATGAAGCCGCTGAGTCACAGCTCTTAAGACACAAAACCATATTATAACTCAAAGTCAAATATGTACTCATTGGCCAGATATGTTCGCCGGAATATAAGAACTGCCAGTGCCAAAGTCAAGATGACAATCAAGACAGCAGACCCGCCGCGGTCGGTGTGGTCGCCTCTCGGCCGCTGGCCCTGGGTGGCGTCTGGGGAGGTAGACGGCCTTCTCTGACTCTGCTGCTGGGCCCGGCGCTGTCGAGGGCTCATGGAGGTGCTCTTAGCTACGGGCTGGGCAGGCTGTTGAAGGGATGCTGCTGAGGGGTTCTCGGTTCCATACGATGTCCTTGCGGTAGCACCCTGGAATGTTGCAGGTCCATCATCCTGTAAACCACTTGGTGAAAAAGAGTGGTTTAAGTCCGACTCAGCAACAGTCTTTCCAGATGAATTAACTTCTGCCTTAAAACTGATTTGTCTAGCCAGTTCCTTGGCTTCTTGGTCAGCCTGGCTTGAATCGCTTCCAGATTTTAAAGGCAACAGGACATCCTTCATGGCAAAGCCACATCCCTCACAACAGAAATCTTGTGATTTTTTGGCAAGAGCTCTTCTCTCCTCGGGCGTGTAATCCAGAGAGCCTATGGCTCCTTCGCCTTTCGTTGGCATAAACCCAATGATGGCTAATAATGCTGTCCTTATGCTCCATGAAGGCTGCCAAGTTTCAGGATGATGTCCTGAGATGCTCAAACAGATTTTCTTGCCTACTTCAAATCGTCCATTAGCCGTTAGGAGAATGATGCTGGGTGGTTTCATGGGGTACTCCGGTGGCAGCACTATTCGCCCATGATAAACTCCTCCATCAAAATCAGAGTCTGGGGGCCCTCAAACTGTGAAGTGCCATTCAAAAAGATTATCCTCTAAAGGCTGTGCGTGGTAATGATCTGTTGGGTCTTTCAACTCTGCTGCTTCTTTCATTAAGCGTTTAACAGCCGGACTCTTCAGGTTGTAGCAGGTCTCCATGGCGGGTGGCTGGCTCGGCTCCAGCCTCCCGGCCCGCCGCTGCCGCCTCTGCGCGCCGCCGCCTCCCGCATCTCCGCTCAGTTCGGGCCGACCGGGTCTGGCCCACCTTTAAGCTTCTGACATATAACTCTATCCTTTGCTAAAAACCCAGATGAGTACCATACACTGTCAACTGTCACAAAGATTCCTTTATTTGCCTTAAACAAAATCTTGGGGGAAGAGCAGGGGAGGGAGAACGATTCAATTGAATGAGACAATTCAGTAGATATTTTCTTATGTCTGAGAAGAGTTCTATGAGAAAATGTTTGGTGAATTTAACAAAAGAAACCCTTCTATTAAGTTCACAAGTAAATCATGTATTATGTCGAAAAATACATTTAATAGGCCATTTAGGAAGATCCCCTGGAGAAGGAAATAGCAACCCACTCCAGTTTTCTTCCCTGGAGAACCCCATGGACAGAAGAGCCTGGTAGGCTACAGGGTTGCCAAGAGTCAGACATGACTGAATGACTGAAAGACTTCACTTTCATTTTAGTTAACAAAGGGCTTCCGAGGTAGCTCTAGTGGTAAAGAACCCACCTACCAATGTAGGAAATGTAAGAGACGTGGGTTTGATCCCTGGGTCAGGAAGATCCCCTGGAGGAGGGCACAGCAAACTATTCTAGTATATTCTTGCCTGGAGAATCCCATACAGGAAGCTGGTGGGCTATGGCCCACAGGGTCACAGAATTGGACATGACTGAAATGACTTAGCACGCGCACACAGACTAGTCAACAATTTTGTAGGATGCAGCAATAGAACCACCTCAATCAACAATTACATCCCATTTTGAACTCAAAACTGCTTGACTCTGTAGCTGGGGATTTGAATTCACACCACAAAGCATCCAGTAAGGGGTAACTGCAAGGAAGGACCTACAAGACTTTCTAGAACACCAAAAAAAAAAAATGTCCTTTTCATCAGAGGGGACTAGAATGCAAAAGCAGAAAGTCAAAAGATATCTGGAGTAACAGGCAAGTTTGATGTTGGAGTACAAAATGAAGCAGGGCAAAGGCTAACAGAGTTTTGCAAGAGAACGCACTGGTCATAGCAAATACCCTCTTCCAACAACACAAGAGACGACTCTACACATGGACATCACCAGATGGTCAATACTGAAATCAGACTGATTATACTCTTTACAGTTGAAGATGGAGACACTCTATACAGCCAGCAAAAACAAGACTGGGAGCTGACTGTGGCTCAGATCATGAACTCCTAATCACCAAAGTCAGACTTTACTTGAAGAAAGTGGGGAAAACCACTAGGCCATTCAGGTATGACCTACATGAAATCCCTTACAATTATACAGTGGAAGTAACAAGCAGATTCAAGGGATTAGTTCTGATAGAGTGCCTGAAGAATTATGGACGGAGGTTCGTGACATTGTACAGGAGGCAGTGATCAAGACCATCCCCAAGAAAAAGAAAGGCAAAATGGTTGTCTGAGGAAGCCTTACAAATAGCTGAGAAAAGAAGAGAGGTGAAAGGCAAAGGAGAAAAGGAAAGATATAGCCATTTGAATGCAGAGTTCCAAAGAATAGCAAGGACAGATAAGAAAGCCTTCCTAAGTGATCAATGCAAAGAAATAGAGGAAAACAATAGAATGCAAAAGACGAGATCTCTTCAAGAAAATTAGAGATACCAAGGGAATATTTCACACAAAGATGGGCACAATAAAGGACTGAAATGGTATGGACCTAACAGAAGCAGAATGAGCTTCCCTGGTGGATCAGACAGTAAAGCGTCTGCCTACAATGCAGGAGTCCCAGGTTCAATTCCTGGGTTAGGAAGATCTCCTGGAGAAGGAAATGGCAACCCACTCCAGTATTCTTGCCTGGAAAATCCCATAGATGGAGGAACCTGGTAGGCTACAGTCCATGGGGTCACAAAGAGTACGACACGACTGAGCAACTTCATATCATATCATATCATATCATATCATATCATATCAACAGAAGCAGAAGATATTAAGAGGGGACAAGAATACACAGAAGAATTATACAAAAAAGATATTAATGACTCAGATAACCACAATGGTGTGATCACTCACCTAGAGCCAGACATCCTGGAGTGTGAAGTCAAGTGGGCCTTAGAAAACAACACCATGAACAAAAATAGCAGAGGTAATGGAATTCCAGCTGAGCTATTTCAAATCATCTTTTAAGATGATCCTGTTAAAGTGCTGCACTCAATATGCTAGCAAATTTCGAAAATTCAGCAGGGGCCACAGGACTGCAAAGGTAGGTTTACATTCTAATCCCAAAGAAAGGCAATGCCAAAGAATGTCCAAACTACTGCACAATTGCACTCATTTCACATGCTAGCAAAGTAATGCTCAAAATTCTCCAAGCTAGGCTTCAACAGTATGTGAACCGAGAACTCCCAGATGTTCAAGTTGGACTTAGAAAAGGCAGAGGAACCAGAGATCAAATTGCCAACATCTGGGGGATCATAGAAAAAGCTAGAGAATTCCAGAAAAATATCTACTTCACTGACTACAATAAAGCCTTAGACTGTGCAGATTACAACAAAGTGTGGAAAATTCTCAAAGAGATGGGAGTACCTGACCACCTTATCTGCCTCCTGAGAAACCTATATGCAGGTCAAGAAGCAATAGTTAGAACTGGACACAGAACAACAGACTGGTTACAAATTGGGAAAGGAGTATGTCAAGGCTGAATATTGTCAACCTGCTTATTTAACTTATGGGCAGAGTACATCATGCAAAATGCCGGGCTTGATGCAGCATAAGCTGGAATCAAGATTGCTGGGAGAAATATCAGTAACGTCAGCAATGCAGATGACACCACACTTATGGCAGAAAGCGAAGAGGAACTAAAGTCTCTTGATGAAAGTGAAAGTGGAGAGTGAAAAAGCTGGCTTAAAAGTCAACATTAAGAAAACTAAGATCATGGCATCCGGTCCCATTTCAGTTCAGTTGAGTCGCTCAGTCGTGTCCGACTCTTTGCGACCCCATGAATTGCAGCATCCAGTCCCATTACTCCTTGGCAAATAGATAGGGAAGCATTGGAAACAGTGACAGAATTTCTTTTCCTGGGCTCCAAAATCACTGCAGATGATGATTGCAGTCATGATATTAAAGATGCTTGCTCCTCGGAAGAGAAGTTATGACCAACTTAGACAGCATATTAAAAAGCCGAGACATTACTTTGCCAACAAAGGTCTGTCTAGTCAAAGCTATGGTTTTTCCAGAAGTCATGTATGGGTGTGAGGGTTGGACCATAAAGAAGGCTGAGTGCCGAAGAATTGCTGCTTTTGAACTGTGTATTGGAGAAGACTCTTGAAAGTCCCTTGCACTGCAAGATCAAACTAGTCAATCCTAAAGGAAATCAACCCTGAATATTCACTGGAGGGACTGATGCTGAAGCTGAAACTCCAATACTTTGACATCCTGATGCGAAGAGCCAACTCATTAGAAAAGACCCTGATGCTGGGAGAGACTGAAGGCAGGAGGAAAAGGGGATGACAGAGAATGGGATGACAGAGGATGAGATGGTTCGATGGCATCACTGACTCAATGGACATGACTCTGCTCAAGCTCCAGGAGATGGTGAAGGACACGGAAGCCTGGCGTGCTGCAGGCCATGGTGTCCGCAGAGTCAGACACAACTGAGCAACTGAACAACAGCAGCTGCAATGAAGAAAGCAAGAGTAGAAAATAATAATCATACAGATACACAAAAGCTGGAATATTTATGTTAATGTAAATCAGATCAAGTCATCTCAAATGACTTCCCTTTACACTTAGAATAAAATCCAAAGATGGCACCATGGCCTCCCAGATACTATGAAAAAGCCCTCACTACCTCTGACCTCATTTCCTACCACTCTCACCCTCACTGACTGTCATACAAAGCCCTTGCTTCTCAAAACAGGCAAGACTGTTTCTGAGGCTTTTGCAGTTGCTGTTCCTTTCCCAAATATTCACATAGTTCACCTCCTCATTTCATTTAGGCCTTTTCATTATCACCTTCTCAGAGGCCCACCTGACCATCTTATATAAAACAGCACCCCACTTTAGCCCTCTCCATCTGCTTTTCATACTTCTTCCTATAGCATATGATTATCTGACACTGTATTAATTGAATGAAAATTTATTTCTCCTACTCTAGATTATAAGCTCTATGATAGTAGACTTTTGTTCATTTATCCTGCACCTAAAACAGCGCAGAGTGAGTGGTCAATAAATATTTATTTAATTTAGTCAGCTACAATTTCTCAAAACTGTGTGCACTTAAATATTGACAGTATGGCTACCCTCACTTCACAGTTTACAAGAAACTACGGCATATAAAAGTTAAAAAAGGACCTAAGAACAAAGCGAGTACAAATGTCAAGACTTGATGAATGATTCCTGAAATGGGTGAATGGACGGAAAATCCGGTTTGTACTGCTGAGGGAAACCCAAACCATACATGAACACCAGTTAAAATGCTGGCCACACAGAAAGAAGGCAAACAGAACCAAGTCTCTTCTCTAAGGCCATAACCTTATTATATTGCCCTCATAACAACCTCACGGCGTAAGGACAGCAGGTACGTTCATTAACAGCAAGACTGACGCCACACTTCGCAGCTGGCAGGGGTGGCAGGTCCAGCCCAGCACTCACCGGTTCGTACAGTTACATAATCGATACTCAGAACCTCGGGCTTTCTCCCGCCCCTGCGCTGGGCTCACGTGGCAGGCCTCGCGACCGGAAGCAGCCTCAAGCGAACCTCGGCGGTTGGTGAATCCGAGGAACAGTTCCTGAGCTGGAGCAAGGGTGAGCGGTCACGGTGATGCTTACGTCAGAGCGCGGCGGGAACTAAAGACCCGCCTGCCTAGAGGGATTCGTCCACGCGGCTCTGCGGTCCCTCTGATTGGCCGGCAGGATGACGTAGCCCGTTTACAGTGGGCTCTGCGGCACTGGCAGTGTGCGTCAGCTCTGCGCAATCGGAGAGAGGAAAATGGGGCGTGCCTGACCGCCCAGGGGGCCCGCTGATTGGCTGGAGGGCGGCGGCGCCTGGCCCGGGCCGGCGGAGGAGGGCGGTGCCGTGGGCCTGCTCCGGGTTTACTGGCGACCGGCTTCAGTAAGATGAACATGGCAGCTCGGACAGGTCAAAGAGCCCTTAAAAAGGTGGTCTCGGGATGCAGTCCGAAGTCGGCGGCAGCCGCCAGAGCCCCGGCTCCAGCGCAGGTGCCTGCGAGGAATGTCAGGTAATGAACAACGGGGGCGCCTCAGCGAGAGTAATTTCTCCCTCCCCACGGCCTGCTGAGCAAGGGGACCCGGGACATTTGCGGTGAGGTAGGCGGATCGGATGCGTTTCCGCGTCTATGCAAAGGGCCTACTGCCTTCGGCGAGTGACGAACTCAGGCCCCCTCTCTCCGCCCCCTTGGCCGGAGGGTCGCCAGCTTGTCCAGGCCGTCCCATCTTGTGTTCGTGGTTCCCAGCCCTCGCGAGAGGCGGTGAATCATTCCGCTCAGCTACTTGGAAGCCGCTGATGAAGCCACTGGATGGGGCGGGGGGGTGCCTTTGCGCTCTTCCGGTCTCCTCCCCTACGGCCGACTACTGCTGTTCTCCGTAAGTTATGACTGCGGCTCAGGAGTTGGTTGATGGACGTGGGGGTTTGTGGCCTGTCCGTGAGTCCCCTTTTGTTTCTGCAGAGTGTCCGATGGCCAGAGGTGCTTTCCCCAGTTTCTGGTAGTGGTCTTTGCCCACCTCCGCCCCCACTTTGGTGCTAGCGAAACTAAAACGAAGTCGAAGTATGGGACTTGGATTTTTTTCCCCTGCCTTTTTAGCAGTCCTGTAACCTTGAGTCAGAGTCTGCCTTCGATTTTCCAGGTTGGTTCTTTTTTGGTAGGTAGTGGAAGAGGAGACCTGAAATTTTCCATATTTCCACCAGTTTCCTTTTATTAATGACACTTGAATAAATTATGCTCGAAAATTTAAAGTTAACTTTTAAAATTAATTTAGTTGTAATCTGTACGGGATGGAGGGAGAAAGCACAAATCTGAGCTCCTTCCAGGACATTTAGAGTCAACGAATTTTTAAAAATATCAACAACCCAATGAACTCTAAATCCTTTTAGACATTTTTTGGTCGAAACTGAAATAAAATCATCTCATATCCTTCACCCTTGCTTTAGGAAATAGCTTTTAAAAAGTTCCAAGCAGAACACTGTATCATACTTTAGATCTGCTTGTATTGCTTTTATAAAATGCTGGCTGTTACTTTTGAGAAAAAAAATTGCTTTAGTGATCAAATTAAGGTTTAAGTTTCAGTGTAAATATTTACTGTTTATGATAATGAAAAGAGATAATTTATGAGTTCATTGCAAGGCTGATTCTGGCCTTTCTTATAATACAGTATTTAGGAGGTAGCACTGGGCTTCCATGGTGGCTCAGAGGGTAAAGTGTCTGCCTGCAATGTGGGAGACCTTGGTTCGATCCCTGGGTCGGGAAGATTCCGTGAAGAAGGAAATGGCAACCCATTCTAGTATTCTTGCCTGGAGAATCCCACGGATGGAGGAGCCTGGTAGGCTACAGTTCACGGGGTCGCAAAGAGTTGGACACGACTGAGCGACTTCACTTCAGTTCACTGGAAGTTTAGTGACCAAAAATCTGTCCTTCTTCTATTCAGTTTTCATTCCATGGTTTAATAAATGTGTATGGCTGTAAGGTTCTCATATTGTAGTTGAAGATACACTGTTCTTGATAAAGTATGAAGATGGATGTGCTGTCCAGGGCATTGTAACCATAATATGCAAACTGATCAGAAAACTCCTATTGTGCTCAGTCCTGTCCGACTGTGTGTGACCCCCATGGATTGTCACTTGGTCACTTTTCCTCCACCCACGTAGCATCTGTTACATCTCACCTGCATCTCTAGTTCACTGTTGCCTTCTCTCTCATTCTGCTCTTTTTTGTACTAGTCATTGCTGTTCTGGCGCTGTCATGTCCCAACTCTTTACGACTTCATGGACTGCAGCATGCCAGGCTCCTCTGTCCTCCACCGTCTCCTGAAGTTTGCTCACACTTATGTCCATTGAGTCAGTGATGCTATCTAACCATCTCATCCTCTGCTGCCCTCTTCTCTTTTTGCAGTCAATCCCTCCCAGCATCAGGGTCTCTTCTAATAAGTCGGCTCTTCACATCAGGTGGCCAAAGCATTGGAGTTTCAGCTTTAGCATCAGTCCTTCCAGTGAATATTCAGTGTTTATTTCCTTTAGGATTGACTGGTTTGATCTCCTTACAGTCCACTCCTGATCTTCTTACTGAATAGCCCCAATTTCGTCACTCATTCTTTAACTCAATTTTCTCTTCCAGCGACACTATAGGATGTCGGTGTCCTTAAAGAAGTTTTATTTATATGTAAATCGTATTTTATATGAATCAAATTTTATATACAACATGAGATTTCACCAGGCCACTACCTTCTCTGTTAAAAAAAATAACTTGAAGACTTGATTTAATGAGATGTTATTCTCTTAGGTGGAACACTTTAAGAGCATCTCATTGAGAATAAATCCCAGATTGCTTTGTCCTGATCAGTAGTCCCCAGCATGATCCAGCTCCAGCGTCTCTCTAACATTATTTCATTGTGCTCTCGCCCTGGCTTGCTATACTGCTGTTGCAGTGTTCATCTTTTTGAGAGTCTGGATGCTGCCAGGCTTTTTCCTTAGTACTTGGAGTGGGCTGTATCTACCTCACCTCCTCCCATGTGCAGACAACACATATGTGTGTATGAGAGAGAGATCTTATGTATGTGTACACACACATTATGTACATACATACCTATTTCACCCTTTACTTGGCTGTTGTTGTTCAGTTGCATCTGACTCTTTGCAACCCCATGGACTGCAGCACGCCAGGCTTCCCTGTCCTTTACCATCTCCCAGAGCTTGCTCAAGCTCATGTCTGTTGAGTCAGTGATACCATCCAACCATCTCATTCCCTGTCATCCTCTTCTCCTGCGTTCAATCTTTCCCAGCATCAGGTTCTTTTCCAATGAGTTGGCTCTTCGCATCAGGTGGCCAAAGTATTGGAGCTTCAGCATTAGTCCTTCCAATGAATATTCAGGGTTGATTTCCTTTATTATTGACTGGTTTGATCTCCTTGCAGTCCAGTGGACTTTCAAGAGTCTTCTCCAGCACCACAGTTTAAAAGCATTAATTCTTCGGTGCTCAGCCATTTTTATTTTCCAGCTCTCACATCCATACATGTCTATAAAAACCATAGCTTTGACTATACATACCTTTGTAGGCAAAGTAATGTCTCTGATTTTTAATACGCTCTCTAGGTTTGTCATAGTTTTTCTTCCAAGGAGCAAGCATCTTTTAATTTCATGGTTGCAGTTACCACCCACAGAGATTTTTGAGCCCAAGAAAATAAAGTCTGTCACTGTTTCCATTGCTTCCTCATCTATTTGCCATGAAGTGGTGGGACCTGATGCCATGACCTTAGTTTTTTGAATGTTGAGTTTTAAGCCAGCGTTTTCGCTCTCCTCTTTTACCTTCATCAAGAGGCTCTTTAGTTCCTCTTCGCTTTCTGCCGTAAGGGTGCTATCTTCTGCATATCTGACATTATTGACATTCCTCCCAGCAATCTTGATTCTTATGCTGCATCCAGCCCAGCATTTTGCATGATGTACTCTGCATATAAGTTAAATATATATACAGCTCCTTTATATATATATATATATATATATATACACACACACACATACATACATGTATATATACATACTCCTTTCCCAGTTTGGAACCAGTCTGTTGTTCCATGTCTGGTTCTAACTGTTGCTTCTTGACCAGCATACAGGTTTCTCAGGAGGCAGATAAGGCGGTCAGGTATTCCAGCTCTTTAAGAATTTTCCACACTTCACTGTTAACCTCATGTATATATACATACTCCTTTCCCAGTTTGGAACCAGTCTGTTGTTCCATGTCTGGTTCTAACTGTTGCTTCTTGACCGGCATACAGGTTTCTCAGGAGGCAGATAAGGCGGTCAGGTATTCCAGCTCTTTAAGAATTTTCCACACTTCACTGTTAACCTTCACAGCCAAAGGTTTTAGCGTAGTCAATGAAGCAGATGTTTTTCTGGAATTCTCTAGCTTTTTCTATGATCTGCCAGATGTTGGGAATTTGATCTCTTGTTCTTCTGCCTTTTCTAAATCCAGCTTATACATCTGAAGTTCTCAATTCACATATTTATTGAAGCCTAGCTTGAAGAATTTTGAGCCTTACTTTGCTAGCACGTGAAATGAGTACAACTGTGCAGTAGTTTGAATGTTCTTTGACATTTCCCTTCCTTAGAATTGGGATGAAAACTGACATTTTCCAGTCCTGTGGCCACTACTGAGTTTTCCAAAGTTGCTGACATATTGAGTGCAGCACTTTAACAGGATCATCTTTTAGGGTTTGAAATAGCTCAGCTGGAATAACTCCTCCTTACCCATTATGTGTCAGCTGAAATACAACCTCGGAGGACTTCCTGGATCACCCTGTCAAAAGGAAGTCCTAATTACATGTCCCCACACCCATTTCTATTTTCGTGGCTTATTTAATCCTCAACTAGAATGTAATCTTTATGTTTGTTTTATTCACCATTATGTCTCTGGTGCCTGGCACAGAATAGCAGCTCAGTAAATATGTGAACTAATGCACAGATAGTGGTGCATAATAGCTATTCAATAATCTTAACTAGTGTAAAGGCTAAAAATAGGTGAACAAGAGCATATCAGGCATCTGTATTACGAAGTACCCTAAACAGTTAACATTCTAATTACCTTGACATATGTTTTTACATGTACACATAGAAATGGAGATTGGAAGGTGAAAGATCAATTGCTAATAGGTCTGACAGGCCTGCCACAGACACAGTGAAGAGGGGGGCCCAACTTCAGATCTCATAGAGTAGATCAAGAATTAAGGAAACCCCTGTGGATGCAGCTGGGAAAACAAGGTGGGTAGGTGAGTTAAAAACTGGACAGTGAATATTCTCCCACCCTAGGGCAGGAATATGTTGTTCACACATGTCTGCAGACTAAAAGCCAACTCTGAGAGATACCTTTTGTGCCTGAAGGCTCCAACCCTAACTGTAAGCTGGTGTTTTTAGTTTTCTTTATGGTGCTCAAGAAGCTTATTTTTGCATGTGTAATTTTTTCGGGAATATTCTAAGGTTGCAAACACCTTCTGAAGTATGATTGTTATTTAACTGTCTCTAATTTGTTTCCTCTTAATTGTCAATGTTGCTCAATCAGGTAATTTTTGTCTTTTCAGTTATTTAGCTTCCTGTGGTATACTGATGAGCAGAACTCTTCCACTGCATACCTCACTTTTGCCTAAGAAGATACATGCAAGAACCTTCTTCAGAATTGCTGCACCATTAATAAACAAAAGAAAAGAATATTCAGAAAGGAGAATTATAGGGTTTGTATATAGTAATAGGTCTACTAAAAGAGCATGTTCACAGTGTTCTTTAGAATATTGTGCCTCTTTTTTTCTAGATTCGTTTCTTACAGACCAAGCTCTGATTTTCTCACCCTTGCTATTTTATAAATATTGGTTGAATGAATATAATCATATGGTAACTTTATAGGATAGGTTTAAATCTTGACATTTAAAGAAAATAAACTGTTTATGTCCTGCATTTTTGTACACTGTTCTTTTTTATAGTGGCCTCATTACTGATATGTTGGGCCAAATATGTTTGTATAGCTCCCTCACCTGCACACATACATAGGTAAGTATATATAAACATGCTAAGAGGCCCCTGCCATCCAGAGGAGAGGTTCGCAAACTTTTTCTGTCAAGGGCAAATTGGTAAATAGGTTTGTGGGCCATACTGTCTCTGTTGGAACTACTCAACACGGTCAGTGTAGCCCAGAACTAACCATGGACAATGTGTAATAAATGGGCATGGTTGTGTTCCAATAAAACTGTTTACAGAGTCAGGCAAGAACCCAGGCTCCCTCCCACTTGGTACTTTTGTAATTGCTTAGTCTTCAGGATCTCTTAAAAAGATACACCTGATGCTTAATCATGTTGGTCCTGGAAGTGACACAAGTGCTTACTCTTAGATATTACTGGCAAGAAGTAGTCATGCGACAGCTGTTCAAGTTGTAGCCTTCTGGTGGCCAGCAATAATGCCACGTAAAGCAAGCCTTAATACTTGGATAGGTGGACATCTTTCCCCCAGCTGGTGTCTTATAAAGACAGAAATGGCAACAAAAAGATGAGAGATCAAATAGTGAATTGGTCTGCTTTACTTTTGAATTACTAATAATATCTCCCTTTGACTGTGACTTGTCATTTGACAGGCCTGCTGGGTACTCTATATTGTTTCTTTTAAGTCTCACAATAGTCATGTGATCTAGGTATTTTTCCCACTGTAAAGATGAAGAAACTGAAGCTGAGAAATTATGTTGTGTCGTGACTCCAAAGCTTATTTTTCCCACTATATTTATTTATTCTTTCTTGCTTCCTTATTCTTTCTGGTACTAAAATTCTTTTTATTACAAATTGGTCTTATTTAATGATCACCTTCCCCCATATATTGTTTGATGTAAACACATAGTAATAGCTGCCATTTATGAAGTGCTTAATAAGCATTGTGCATTATGCCAGAACTCTTTCCTTTAACCCTTAAAATAACTCTGTAGAGGTATTTTTCAATTATGGATGAAGAAAATTGAGAGGTTAAGCAACCTAGTCAGGGTCACATGAAATTACTATGTTTTAAAATTGATATTTGAACACAATAGAGTACGTTTATGCGAATAGCTTCCAGGCTACTGAGTCTCATATATCTTCATGGCATTTATATTGGCATTTATTTCCAAGTGTCTAAGAACATGGGGAGAGAAGAGTAGGTTTGTTTAGTCTTTCCTCTGTGGGCCTCATTTCATGATCATAAAGATTAATTTAAATATACATGAACACTCATTCTGTCATATTCCAAACATACCCTTTGAAAATTTAGAATGTGGTGGTTTACTGCAGCATTTTGAGATGAATTCTACTTTAGCAGTGTTGACTCTTTATAACCAAGAATGAAGAAAAAAAAAAACCAAGAATGATACGTGTCTGGTTTTCATTGTTCAGTTGTCTTTTTTGTTGTTGTTGTTCAGTTGTCTTTATATGTATCCACAGTGTGGTTTTTTTTTTTTTTTTTTTTTTTATTTAAACCCTGATGTGTGGCTTCCCTGGTGGCTCAGAGGTTAAAGCATCTGCCTGCAATGTGGGAGACCTGCGTTCGATCCGTGGATTGGGAAGATCCCCTGGAGAAGGAAATGGCAACCCACTCCAGTATTCTTGCCTGGAGAATCCCATGGACAGAGGAGCCTGGCGGGCTACAGGCCCTGGGGTCGCAAAGAGTCGGACACGACTGAGCGACTTCACTTCACTTCATGTGATACCTTACTGTAAACCCTTATGTGTCTTTGTTGAATTTATTTCTGGGTATTTTACATTTGTATGCTACTGTTTTCTGTTTGTTAGTATAGAATCAGTATTAGTTTTTATATATTTCTTAACAGGCTACCTAACTGAATTCTTGATTGATTGATTTTTGATTTGATAGTCATATCACCTGCCAGTTTATAATTTTGCCTAATTCTTTTCCACCCGTGTGCCCATATTTCATGCTCTGATTTAATTTCTTTGACATTATAGAACAATGTCAAATGACAGTAATGATAGCATCATTGGCTTCTTTCTTTTTTTTTTTCCATTGGCTTCTTTCTAATGCTAATAGTAATGCTTATATTTTACCATCTGTGAAGGGACTTGTACAATGATTTTGTTTTGGCTAAATAATATGGTTATAATAATTCTTAGTACTGCATCATCCATACTATGTATGTACTATGGATGGTTCATCCATACATCCTTAGATGAGTTGTATATGATTGTTTTATTTTTTTTAATATATTATTGGGATTATATTTGCTGGTATTTTACCTAGAAGTTTTGCTTCAGTACTCACAGGTAATATGGGTTTATAGATTTTGTTTTTTATGTTCTTTGTGAAGTTTGGGTTGTCAGGATGTTATGCTGGCTCATAAAGAGTGAGACGTTCCCCTTTTTTGTTATAGAATTGATTTTTTTTCTTAATTACAAAATGTTTGCATACTTGTATAAACACTTAACAATTTAGAAGTATATATACTAGAATGAAAAGAAAATTAAAAAAAGAATTTTAAAAAGACAGAAAAAAAGAAAAAATAGAAATATATATATTAAAGAGTTAGTCTGTTTTTAATCCTACTCTTTTTTCCTGAATTAACAACTGGTAATTGTTTAATTTGTATCCTTTTAGGACTTTTAAAATATATTTTCATTACAGACAGTCTATTAACATAATTATTTTCAGAAAAAGCAAATATCAATTGTTTAAAATTGAGGAATTACAGTATACACTTATAATATTTCTCAAATGGATAATAAAATTGTATATAAAGCAGACAAGATATATACAGTTTTATTATCTATTTAAGAAATATTGTAAGTGTATAGTGTATTTCCTTGATTATTAAACACTTTGATATTTGTGCCTTTTTTCATGTAGCAATATATTTCAGACCTCTTTGCTCTAAAGTATATGGTTGACCCTTGAAAGATGGGGGGTTTGGGAGTACAGACCCCCCACGCAGTAAAAAAAAAAAAAAAAATGCATGCTACTATTTCTGTTTCAAAACAAGGAATTGATAAATGATTTATCCAAAGGCAGGAAGCTGAAACAGTTTGTATAAAATCAAGACTCAAACCTTAGTTTATTTGATTCCACATATTGTGACTTCTAATTGAACACAAACTTTCCCCCACATTTAATTTAAAAATCTGTAAAACAAAAATACAAATACTGTATTTTCAAAGAAATTCTTATGTAAGTAGACCCACACAGGGCAAAGCTGTGTCGTTCAAGGGTGAACTGTACATTTGATCTTCATCCTTTTAGATAACTGATGAATTCCACAGTATGAATGTACCATAATTCATCAGCCATTTATTATAAAGCAGTATTAATGTGTGTGCCAAATAACTTCTTGCCTCGTACACAGTAAGTTTTATTATTTATTCAGTTTAAAGCAGGGGTCCCCAACCTCTGGGGTCTAGTACCTGATGATTTGAGGTGGAACTGATGTAATAATAATAGCAATAAAGTATCCAATAAATGTTGTGTACTTGAATCGTCCTGAAACCATCCTCTCTTCCCCATTCCATGGAAAAAAATTGTCTCACAGAACTAGCCCCTGGTGCCAAGAAGGTTGGGGACTGCTGGTTTAAAGTGTGTATGCACTGTCTAAATAGGTGTAGTTAACACCTTTCCTTTTTTTTTAAGTTATTCTATGCAGGAAATGTATGATGTAGTATCTGGAATGGAGGATTACAAGCATTTTGTTCCTTGGTGTAAAAAATCAGATATAATATCAAGGAGATCTGGATACTGCAAAACACGATTGGAAATTGGGTTTCCACCTGTACTGGAGCGCTACACATCAGTAGTGACCTTGGTGAAACCTCATTTAGTGAAGGTAATGGTTTTGTTTTTTGTTGTTCTTAAATAGTCTTCAACTAGTGATATATTAAATGGATTAATGTATAATAGTTTAAGAAGATTTCCCTGAACTAATAGGAGGAAGAAAAAAAAACTGTTATATCACTTAAGTTGTGTGATTTTATATAATATTAGCATAATTCTTTCCAAATAGAAATTTAACTAGAACATGGAAATGAGAAGCTTTTTCTTTTGTCCTTCTGTTGAGAACTACTGACCTCTAGGAAAGATTCAGCCACACAAGTGAGAAATGTTTTAATTTAATATTGATACTTGTGTTTTTTTTTTAAGTTAAGGCAGGGAAAGTGGTGAGAGGATGAAGAAAGATAGAAAAGATATAAATGTGGAGCATATAAACATTGTTGAAGTCATCCTGCCATGTACCAGGTACTGAAATGCCAGGTACTGTTGCATGCATTATATTAATCATCTTACCCTTCTCAGAGAAGGGTACACATACAGAAAAGGTACTCAGACTTCAACACATGAAAAAGGAGAATTCCAGAGTTATATTACCATTTATTTTGACTTTCTAGAGTGTGGTGAACAAAGGCTTTCAAAGCTTGGATTGTGTGGTTTTGTGCCCACTTGATTTAGTAGTGGTATCATTTCTTGGTTATTGGCCAGAGCTAAGTGCCTTTTTCACCTCCTTGTCAGTCATTGAGGACATGCAGCTCTCATACCAGAAAGAATATACTGTCCAGTGAAGCTAAGACATGGGAGTCCACCCTAGTCCCATTGTCAAAACATCAACTCCGCTTAAAAGTCTGTGCCGCATTCTGAGACTTTACCATTATTATAACTGTTTTCACCTGTTTGCCTCATAGTTTTGAAGTTTTTACTTACTATAGTGCACTGCCTCTCTTATAGTAGCTAATGCATTAAGCTCTATAGTGCTTTCTTTACTTGAATTGTTTAATCTTCACAACAGCCCTTTGAGATGCAGATTTTATTATCCTCCATCGTATGGTTAAGTATGCTAAGACTTCAAAGAGTTAGATAGCTTGCCTAGGGTTACACAGCCAAGACTCTCTAATCTGTCTGACAACAGCGACTATCTCTATAAATCTTAAAATTGAGTCCCCTGACCTCAATCTCTTACCATTCAGATTCTTACAACTTTGATCTTAACATATCCTGCATCTAACTAAAGAACTCTAAAACCTTATCGTTTTCTCCCCCTGGCTCTCTTCCTTCCCTGACTTCCATGAGTGTACTGTAGGGTACTTATCCCACAGCCCTGTGCCTTTGCATGTTGTTCCCTCTTCTGTCTGTAATGAACTTGATTCCTTGCCTGTTAATCCTTCAGATCCCAGCCTGTTTTCGTCCTTTCCTTTCATACGGCTAGTCTGCTGTACCTCGGTGATTGCTCTAGGCTTTGCATGTGCTTGATTTATTTCTCTTACCACTCTTTTGTATGACTTCTTTCTTCCTTTGGATTTCTGCTTGACAGAATCGAGCTACTTAAGGGAATGGGAGATCTTCTTTTTCATCTCTGAATCCTCAGTCATGAGGGCTTTTGTTTATGAAGTTCTCACTGCTGTGTTCCTGTATATCCAGATGTTCATAGTAATTTCAGTAACCTTCAGCACTGCCAAGGAGGCAGGAAACTTTTTTTTTTAATTATAATAGTATGTATTATATATTACTATCTTAATTTTAGGAGGCTTAGAGAACTTAAGAGCCCACACAAATTTATACTGTGTGTGTCTGATTCCAAAATTATTTTTCCATTAAAATAAACTGCCTCACTTAATGTGCTAATTTATTATTAAAGAGCTTCCCAGGTGGCACTAGTGGTAAAGAACCCACTTGCCAATACAGGAGACATAAGAGACGGGTTCAATTCCTAGGTCAGGAAGATCCCCTGGAGGAGGAAATGGCAACCATCTCCATTATTTTTGCCTAGAGAATCCCATGGACAGAGGAGCCTGCAGGCCACAGTCCGTGAGGTTGCAAAGAGTTGGACATGACTGAAGCAACTTAGCATGTTAGCAGGACCTAAAGGTTAGGCAGCATTTGAGGGTTGTTCTGGAGACCCAAGGTACACACAAATTCATACTGTGTATGTCTGATTCCCAGATTATTTTTCCATTAAAATAAGCTGCCTCACTTAATGTGCTAATATTTAAAGACATATTTGAGAATAAAACACAGCTATGTTCAGCTTTTAATTTTCCCTGGGCTCAGGTTCTAGATATTAGTACCTAATACACATATGTGACATACAATAAAAATTAGAACCAAGAAAGCAACGAAAGCTATGTGACATTTTTTATTAGCTGTCCCAAATGTGCCTGTGACTTAACATGTCAGTGATTCTACATGCATCATGTAGATTCATCAGTCTGTAATGGCCAGAAGCCTACTTGGCTGTGTTCAGTATCTCTGTTAGGAATGAGCTCATTGGCAGTATCAAAACGTACCAGTAAAAATCTGTGGATCCTTGGGCTAGGTTATTGATACAAGTACAGCACTGCCACATTTTGTTAAAAAATAGTCAGAGGAAGGTGCTATATTGTAGTGATTATTCCCAACAGCTGCTTCTCCCTTACTGTTAGATTTCTTATAAGCTTTATACATGATTGTAAAGAAGGATGGAATGCTTTACCTTAAAGTTGGGTAACTTAAAAAGTTGTAAAAAGTTAGAAATAAAAGTAAATGGAGTGCTTGCTTCAGCAGCACATATACTGAATTTGAAACAATATAAAGAAGATCCCTGCACAAGGATGAATGCAAATTCACGAACCATTCCATATTTTGGGGAGCTCACTGTAGCACTCTGTGACCACCTAGTGGGGTGGGGAATTGGAGGGAAGTTCAGAGGGAGAGAAAGTATGTGTACTTATGGCTCATTCACATTGTTGTATGGCAGAAGCAACACATTATTGTAAAGCAATTATCCTCCAGTTAAAAACAAAAGAGGGGGTCGTCCCTGGTGGCCCAGTGTTGAAACCCCACTTTTCCACTGCAGGGAGCACAGGTTTGATCCCTGATAGGGGGACAAAAGATGCTACAAGCCACAAGGCACAGCCAAAAAAAAAAAAAAGTAAAGTTGGATAACTGAAATAATATTTTATTATAGATTTTTGATGGTTTTAAAAATTAGATGTTCATTATTGAACCAAATAAAGCCAAATGCTTTGGGGAAAAAAAACTTTTTTTTTAATAAGAACTGGATTTATTTAGAAGAAACTTCACAGAGTGTGGGCCATCTCAGAAGGCAAGAAGCCTTGAAGAGATTTTTTCACTTTAATGACTGTTACTTTTCATGTCTAAAGTTTTAAATTTTCACTGGTTTCCATATTAAAAATTTAAAAAAAAATTTATAATGTGAATAGAGCATTTCTTTTTAAGTGCTTTTTAGTATGGGTGCAGTTTATAATGATTCTACAGTGGTGAAAGTGAAAGTCATTCAGTCGTGTCCGGCTCTTTGCAACCCCATGGACTATACAGTCCGTGGAATTCTCCAGGCCAGAATACTGGAGTGGGTGGCCTTTGCCTTCTCCAGGGGTTCTTCCCCACGCAGGGATCGAACTCAGGTCTCTCTCATTGCAGGCGGATTCGTTACCAGCTGAGCCACCTGGAAGCCCAAGACTTTGAAACAAGTTAAAAAATAGCCTGCTTTTGAGGGAACATAGCATATATATTCTTGAGGTCAATTGTCCACTAGTATAATAAGGCCCAGATGGCATCTTAGGATAGTAAATAAAGAAGTTGAACTTCATTCAAGGTCATAACCAGTTCTGACAGTGTTTTAGTAACTGTGGTCCTGGCCACCTTTTTTCACACTGTGGAAGGCAACTCTTGTATGGGTCTCAACCGGCATTTTTTAATGATAGAGAATGGGACGTGTCAGATTGCACTGCACATAGTATCACTGTGTATTATGTTTCAGTGTACACACATCTGTGAAATAACCAGCACTGAAGAGATGAGAGGTCAGAAAGCAATGAGTCAGGACTAGACTTATAAGAAAACTGGAACCATAGAGGCCCCTAGAGGTAAAGACTAGTGAGTTAGAGAAAGACTAAATGTGATTGATAAGGAAGATCTTTGGGCAGGCAAGAGTTACAGAATTGTTCTAGGGATCTATGCCAAATTCCTTACAAGTATTAAATTTAGCTGTCTCATAATGATGGTAAAAAATAGGCATTATGCTCATTTTAAAGGTTAAGGAAATACAGGGAATTAACTTGTTCAGGATCACTAATAAGTGGCAGAGCTGGAAGTAAACTTCCAGATAGTAACTCCCTGTTTTGTTATGGGGGGAGAACTCTGAAGTAGCAGTGGGTGACAGTGGAAGAGAGAACTGGCAGTAATCTTGGGAATCCCAGGAGGAAGGAAAATGGCTTATGTCAGCAAGAGATCTCTTCCTAGTACCGAGCTAAAGAGATCTTTTTGTCACCTGTGGTCTAATCTATAAAAATACTTACTTTGAACTAAAGCGTCCTCAATTGTAGATTCTGGACAATCCAGCTGGTACTTGACTGTTTTTTGTTTGGTTTGGTTTTGTTTCATTTTGTTCTAGGCATCCTGTACTGATGGGAAGCTCTTCAAACATTTGGAGACTGCTTGGCGTTTTAGCCCAGGTCTTCCCGGCTACCCAAGAACTTGTACTTTGGATTTTTCAGTAAGTCTCGCATAAAGCTCTCTATTTGTTCCAAATATCAGATAAAGTTGGTAAAGAAGGAGTAGTTCATTTTTATTAGAACCCACATGCTATAATTAGTAAACTGCATGCATAGCAATTGGGCTTCCCAGGTGGCTCAGTGGTAAAGAATCCGCCTGCCAATGCAGGAGACGCTGGAGATTCAGTTCACTCTCTGGGTCAGGAAGATCCCCTGGGGTAGGAAATGGCAATTCACTCCAGTATTCTTGACTGGAAAATCCCTTGACAGAGGAGCCTGGTGGGCCCCAGTCCATGGGGATGGAAAGAGTTGGACACAACTGAGCGACTGAGCGCGCACACACACAGACACACGTTTATGCATAGCAATTACTATAAGACTTTTTTTAATCTCAGATTTTTGAGTATTGAATATCTCTTTCTGCACTGACTTTTTTTTTTTTTGGCACTAATTTTATAAGACAGAATGCTAGGGGAAATTCCCTGGCAGTCCAGTGGTTAGGACTCTGCACTTCCACTGCAGGGGAAACTGGTTCAATCCCTGGCCAGGGGCTAAGATCCCTCAGGCCGCCTGGCACAGCCAAAAAAAAGGAAAGAATGCTAATGACCTTTTCTCTTTTTCTCTCTTTCCTGAAACTTTGAATGCCTTCTCTATTTTCTAGTTTTTACAAGTCCATAGATTATAAGACACATGTCTTGCCTACTACCAGCTTAATAACAGTGTAGCAACAAATGAAACTGTACATTGATCTTTATCTTATGAGTTGCAGAAATAAAATGCAAAGGAAAAAAATATTTTTAAATTTAAGCACTATGGTATTGGTATTTTCTCGTTCATATCACCTTAGCTATAGAAAACTTAAAGTCACTTGTCTGACTTTTTATTTATATGAGTTGGTTCCTGTATTTGCAGCTCAGGCTTACATTTTAAAATATGGTTATAATTTTGAGTTAATTACTGTATGCTTGTCTCAGCTCTTAGGTTGCTTTCATTTTCATTTCATATTTTTTTCATAAAAATTAGTGGACAATAATGGAACACTTGGGGAAATTTGAATGAAACCTCTATAGATTAGATAATAGCATTATTATCTAGTAATATTAACTCTGTTAATCTCCTGGTTTTAATTGCACTGTGGTTATATAAAACCTGATACCTGAATGGCGGGTATATGAGAGATCTTAGTAGTAATATTGCAACTTTTTAATAAGCCAAATTATTTTAAAATTAAAACTCTCAAAAGTTAGTGGATATTTCATCCTTAAGGCATTATTTCTCAAACTGATTGCTTTGAATTCAGTCTTAAGGGGATATAAATGAAATTTAAATCCTTGTCTACTTTAAGATTGAAGCACCTTTGCCATCTAGTTTGTAGCTTAACCTCACCTTTCTGATATTAACTTGTGGGAATAACCTATCAGAGGGATCACTTCCCTTCCTTACTTCCTTTTGGGAAGTCGTGCCCGACTCTTTGTGACCCCATGAACTGTAGCCTGCCAGGCTCCTCTGTCCATGGAATTCTCCAGGCAGGAACACTAGAGTAGGTAGCTGTTCCCTTTTCCAGGGGATCTTCCCAACCTAGGGATCGAATCCAGGTCTCCTTCATTGCAGGTGGATTCTTTACCAGCTGAGCTACCATTTCTTTTTGGGAAGGAAGGTGGCTCTTAAAGGGACACACTAATAAGTAGCCAAAGTGATAAATATATTCATTTAGCAAAGCTTTTTTTCCAGTTTTTTTTAACTTAATACAATCAAACTCTTTGCCATAAAATGAGATTCATTGACTTTGTTTTACTTAAGTTTGTTGTGCAGCCACTGTTGTGCTTACTGCAGTAAATAAGTCTCCCTCTTAGCGATGTTAAAAGTCTCATCTAGATATAGGCCCATATTGCTCTGCCTTAGGTATTGGGCCAGTGAGCCCATTTCACTGTGCAAACACCATTACCCTAAGTAGAGATTTAGTAAAAGAAAGGTCTTTCTAAAATAGTTATTAACATTTTCCTACAGATTTCTTTTGAATTTCGCTCACTTCTACACTCTCAGCTTGCCACATTGTTTTTCGATGAAGTTGTAAAGCAGATGGTGACTGCCTTTGAAAGAAGAGCGTGTAAGCTGTATGGTCCAGAAACAAACATACCTCGGGAATTGATGCTTCATGAAGTTCATCACACATAAAGAAAAAAGGAAATGGTCACCTACTCATATCTAGTTTATTCACTTTTAGGAAGTGCTTTCATCATTTGCTTTCAGACGTCAGAAAGCATTTGTCAAACCCAGCTTTGATTATAAACCCATACCGTTGAAAATTTGCACTTGGAATATGGAACCACATGTACATAGAATTCAATCAAGTATAATTCAGAGTAGTATGTATATTAGCATATTTACGATAATAGGATGTCATCACTGTTGCTGGAATACTGATAGCACTCTTCTGAGCGGAAATTGGAACTGTAAATGTAAACCTTTTAATTATTGCCTCACCTGAGGGGTTGGTTGAGATACTCCTGCAGTGTGTACTATATTAACTATATCACCTTTAAGTTATTAATGTCAGACTGTTTATAACTTATTGTTAGGGCCTGCCTCGTGGCTCAGGATATTTGAGTAATCATCAGATATTTAAAGTAAAACCTTTGACTTAAAAATACTGTTAATGAAGGTTCCCTGGCACTTTTCTTATTTTTAAATTGTTCCTATGGATAGCAGTAGATAATTCAGTATTATACTAAGGTTAGCTTTCAGATAAACAATTAGTTTTTATTTTTATTTTTTGGTGAGTGGTCCAGAGAGTTTTTTTTTTGGTCCAGAGTTTTAAACTACTTTTCTCATAGTTTGCAACCCTCTCCCTGATACTTTGCTGTGTCAGTAATGCTGAATCTGTGTCAAATTTTGTCTACAGCAGTGGGCAACAGATCAAGATAAGTTGGTTGATGTGTCTGCAGCACCATGCATCCTTATTTTCTATTTATTCTGTGTGTTCACTTTCGATAATGTATTTCAAACTGATATTTTTGTAAACAAATCAACATAAGGACTGAAGTGGTAACTTAATAAAGTTAATTTGTTTATTTTTTGTACAGTTATTTTGGTTATTGAAATGTCTCAGAATACTTTAACCAAAACAAATCTGGGCAAAATTCAGTCTTCCTTTAATCAGTGTTAATCGCCTTCCCTTCCTTCATTCCCTGCCCAGTAACTCTTCTGCATTAATCGTCCTTTGTTCCTCAGCTCAGCCAAGGACTCCACGGGTTAGGTCCCTCTGTGAATGCATGTTTGCAGTTGTGAGTGGCTGCTCTCTGCCATGTGGTAGGTATACTGTAGTCAAGGATTCATACAGTCTACTCACATGGAGCTTGGTTTGTGCCTTCACACAGGTAAAGTAAGTTTCCGCTTACAAATGAGGTGTCTTCCCAGGGCATAAGTAGTTTTTATATAATTATGTACCTTTTGGGACTTTCTTGGCGGTCCAGTAGTTAAGACGGCAAGCTTTCACTGCAGGGAGCTTGGGTTCAATCTCTGGTAAAGGAGCTAAGATCCTGCATGCCAGATTTTTTTTTTTAAATCGTGTACCTTTTAAATGAGAAAAGTATTTTTTTTTTTTTTTAAGTGACAAAGATAAGACCTAGGTAGTTTTTTTCCTGGTACAGTACTACTCTGTTTATGGAAATAAGAACCCGTACTTTACTACTATTCTTACAAATGCCGTAAGTCAGTTCTTAGGTTCAGAATCTAACTTAGTAGTTGGACATAACTGGCTGGTATTATGATAGTAGGTAGATTGTATTTTAGTGAGGGAACCCAGGAATACCCAAATATTGCCTTGATTTAGCCATCCCTTTAACCCATGAGGTTCCCCAAGTATCATTAGAATGTGAGTCTTAGAAGCAATAGAGAAAAAACCCAGGCAATCTGGCTCCAATATCTATGCTCTTGTGTTTGCTCTGAAGGCTGTGACCTGTGGCGTTAAGGTGGCGCTAGTGGTGAAGAACCCACCTACCATTGCAGGAGACGTAAAGAGACCCTGGTTCGATCCCTGGGTCCAAAAGGTCCCCTGGAGCAGAGAACAGCAACCCACTCCAGTATTCTTGCTTGGAGAATCCCCACGGACAGAGGAGCCTGGGAGACTACATACATCTCACTGGGTCCCAAAGAGTCAGACACGACTGAAGTGACTTAGCACACATGCACACACCAATGAAAATTTAAAAATTGGCGGGGGTGGGGGGCATCTATACTTTGCATATCATAAAGGGGAAAAACCCCATCACCTTTAGAAACTTTTCTTGAAGTGGCATCTGGTCAGTGGAATCTGAAGGGAAGATGGATAAGACCTACCAGATAAGACTTCTGTCTGTGTGGAAAGAAACTTCAAAGAGAAACTTCTTCCTTAGTTTTTGCCTGGTTACATGAGGACGTGAAGTTTGCAGCTACATCTGCAATCTTCACATAAAGCGAAGGGGCGTTGATTCCAGAAAAGCCAATTCAGAACCCTAACATCAAGGGTTGAATGAACCAACCTAGAGTGGGCACTTCTGCTGCTGCGAAGTCGCTTCAGTCATGGCTGACTCTGCAACCCCATAGACGGCAGCCCACCAGGCTCCCCCGTCCCTGGGATTCTCCAGGCAAGAACACTGGAGTGGGTTGCTGTTTCCTCCAATGCATGAAGGTGAAAAGTGGAAGTAAAGTCGCTCAGTCATGTCCAACTCTTCGAGAACCCATGGACTGCAACCCACCAGGCTCTTCCGCCCATGGGATTTTCCAGGCAGGAGTACTGGAGTGGGGTGCCATTGCCTTCTCCTGGGCACTTCTGGTTATGTGAGATAACAGACCTCTAGTGTTCACGTCACTTAGAGTTGAGTATTCTGTTACTTGCAGCCACTCTCCTCCTGCTCCAGTCTGGACTGGTTGCTCTCCAGGCTGTTGTGTAGCTGTAATCCCTGGCAGTTATGCTAGAATTACCGAACCCCCCCCCCCCACTTGGGGTACTTACTTCCTGAAATTTGGCTTCCTTTTTATTTTTTTAACTCTCAAAATGCAAAAGTAATCATCTAGTGGCTTCCTGAGAAAGGGTAAATGGGAGCTAAATTTTTAGAATCCTTGAGTATCTGAAGATGTCATTGTTTTATAACTCACTTGAGGCTAGAACTCCACATTAAAAATAGCCCCCCTCCATAATTTGAAGATCTGACTTCATTGTATTCTGGCAGCTGGTGCTGCCCCTGAGAAATCTGACGTTCTTATAATCAGTACTTTTGACATGCTTTTTTTGATCTCTGCAAACTTTTAAAATTTACTCTTTGAGTAGTCTTAAAATTGGAGAAGGAGATGGCAACCCACTCCAGTATTCTTGCCTGGAGAATCCCATGGACAGAGGGGCCTGGTACATCCATGGAGTCACACAGTTGGAACAACTGAAGTGACTGAGCAGGAGCTCTCGAAAATCCATGCCATCTGCCTGGCTGCCTGTGTTAACTGTGTTGGGCAACTTACGGATCCTTTCAGTCACAGGCTTATTTCTTTGAGTCCTGTGGAATTTCTGCGAATTATTTCGATAATTTCCTCCTTTCCATATACTGTGGTTCTTTCATTCAGAAATTCCTAAGTAATTAGACTTTCTAATTCTTGTATTAAATCTATCTTTTTACTTCCTATTTTCCATCTGTTTTTGTTCTGCCTTTTAGATTTCTTCAATTCTATCTTCCAGCCCTTTCAGTTAATTTTATATTTGCTATAGTTTTCACTTTCAAGATTTTGTGTGTGTGTGTGGCTATGCTGGGTCTTCATTGCTGCACTGAGGCTTTTTCCAGTTGCAGAGAGTGGGCGCTACTCTAGTTGCAGTACAAGGGTTTCTCGTTGTGGCTTCTTTGTTGTGGAGCACAGGCTCTAGGCACACGGGCTTCAGCAGTTGCATCACATGGGGCTCCTTAGCTGCGGCTCCCGGGCCCTAAAGTGCGCAGGCTTCAGCAGTTGTGGTGCACAGGCTTAGTTGCTCTGCAGCGTGTGGAATCTTTGCAGAGCAGGGATTGAACCTGAGTTCCCTGCATTGGCAGGCAGATTCTCAACCACTGTGCCACCAGGGAAGTCCGATTTTCAAGATTTTTTTTTTTTTTCTAATTAGTCCTTTTTTTAAAAAATAGCTTTCTTCTTTTGTGGAGACAAGATTTCATCTTAAGTTCCCCTTAGGTCCTTTCTGGTTTTTGCAATCCTCCCACTGAAGTCTTCCTTGGCTGTCTAATGGTTCTTGTTTGTCTTTAATATTTGAAGGCAACGTACTTACCAGTTTATTGGAATTAAGATGGGGCCTAATGACTGGTGAGTTTCATTATAAGGTGACCCGAGCCAGCCTTTTTGCTGGGGGCACTCCACAAATGGCAGAATCTAGAGGTCTTTGCTCAGTTTTTCTTCAAAAGGATTCTCCTGTCTCTTGCCCTAGAAAATATGGGGTTGAGAATAGGAATAGGGACAGATGAAGCAGACACAATGCCTGGCAGTTGGCACTCTGTAAGGTTGTAAGGAACCGAGGATCCCAGAGTTTGGAATGTAGGCTTTCTGTTTTCAGTCCCTCTCTACCCTAGCTCTCTTCTCTTCCTGGTGTCCCAGGCTGACACTCATTCCTACTCATTTTCCACAGAGAATTAACCAGTAGGCAACTCACCTGGTGGTCTGGGAAAAGGGGATAAGAACTGGGAGTCCAATGTCAGTAATCCTTCAGGTAATTTCACCCTCGTTTCCATTCCCACACTTGGCCTTACCTGAAACCCTAGACCCCCAGCATCCAGCGAGTCCAAATGTTAAGTCTTGGGGGTGGAGTTCTAGGGGACTGAGTACCTTGCTTCTTTATTCCTTCTTTAGGTTCTTAGGTTGTAATTATATCAGCTCTAAGTCACATCACTTTTCCATCAATTTTTTAACTTCTATAGATCCACTGATATCTACTCCTTCTCTTTGCCTGGGAATTCCTTATGTGTTCCTAAAGATCATTTTTAATTAAATTCCTTTTAAAATTAAATAGCATTTCTCTAGATACTCACAGACTGCTTATGTAACTGGACAGTCTAAGTGTATGAAATTAAATTTCCCTGAACATTTAAGTACTGCTTATTTAATCAAATACTTCTGAACATTTAAAATTGCAAGCTCAGTATATCAGATTTTCTTGAATGTCTTAAATG